TCCATCACCACCACATCCACCACCTCCATCACCACCACCACCACCACCACCACCTCCACCACCATCCACCATCAGCAACTGCCACGCCGACCCCAGTAGTGTCTGCTTAGCATGGGAAACCATCTATCAGACCATGATAGGGGCTTCAGAGACCTATCTCTGAGTTTTGGGACTTCACCAAAGTCTACCTCAGAGAATGGGGCTTTACAGAAACCTATCTCCAAGTTTTGGGACTTCACCGAAGTCTACCTCGGAGAATAGGGCTTCTAAGAGGCCTACTCCTGGGAAAAGGCTGGCAAACCCCTGGGAAAGATGTGTTTCTGCCTTTCTTTTCCTCATAAGAGTGCCTGTTAATCTTTTACTGCTTCTGCTGCTTTTTGTATGTTCCCTTATTCAAAGCCCTTTCTTAAGAGTGTTGACGACTCCAATATCTGATGAGTGTCTTAAAAATATGACTATCTCACCAGAGTTAAGTGCTAACCTGAAACCCCTCTTATGGAGGCTAGGAGACAAGTTATAAGTAAATATAAAAGTATTGGGGGTTTCACAAAGTCACTTCAACAGAAGGAATTATTTGTAAGGGATTTACAAGAAGCTGTAGGCTCAGCTAGAGCAGAAAGAATGGATGGCAATTACTAAGATAACTATTTAGGAGAAAGAATTTCCTGCTATTTACTAAGAGATTTGCTAGGTCTCCTTGAAGTTTACTATTAAAGAAGAGACAGGAAAGATCTTATGGGAAAAGTTAAGGCCTCTATAAAGATAGGTAATGGTTAATTGGTGACAAACATCGAAACCCAAACCCATTGCATTCCTTAGAGATAAGCCGGAGACAAATGCCTATCAGGTGCCCAGCTGGTGACCACCCAAGAAAGAAGCCCTGCAGCAAGATTGTGTAACCTTTTGCCCTTTCTCATGGAGACTTTTGCTATAAAAGTTTGTTATCCTCTGCATTAAATCGCACTCAGCATCCACTCCTAATGTGTGTGAGTTGTCTGTTTGCCATCTCCCCATCCTATTCCAGGTTCCTCCCTTAGGTGTCCTCCGTCGTCCCGACAGAACCCGGTCCGTGGCAAGCAACTCCACCACCACCACCACCTCCATCACCACCACCACCACCATGTCCATCACCACCACCACCACCACCTCCACCATCAGCAACTCCACCACCACCACCACCACCATCCACCACCTCCATCACCACCACCACCACCACCATCCACCACCTCCATCACCACCACCACCACCACCATCCACCACCTCCATCACCACCACCACCACCACCACCATCCACCATCAGCAACTCCACCACCACCACCACCTCCATCACCATCACCACCACCATCCACCACCTCCATCACCACCACCACCACCACCACCGCCATCCACCATCAGCAACTCCACCACCACCACGACCTCCATCACCACCACCACCATCCACCACCTCCATCACCACCACCACCACCATCCACCACCTCCATCACCACCACCACCACCACCACCACCACCACCACCACCACCCACCATCAGCAACTCCACCACCACCACCTCCATCACCATCACCACCACCATCCGCCACCTCCATCACCACCACCACCACCATCATCCACCATCAGCAACTCCACCACCACCACCTCCATCACCACCACCACCACCACGTCCATCACCACCACCATCACCACCACCACCATCCACCATCAGCAACTCTACCACCACCACCACCACCACCTCCATCACCACCACCACCACCACCACCATCCACCATCAGCAACTCCACCACCACCACCTCCATCACCACCACCACCACCACCTCCATCACTACCACCACTACCACCTCCAGCATCAGCAACTCCACCACCACTACCTCCATCCACCACCACCACCACCACCACCACCACCACCATCCACCATCAGCAACTCCACCACCATCACCACCACCACCACCACCTCCATCACTACCACCACTATCACCTCCAGCATCAGCAACTCCACCACCACTACCTCCATCCACCACCTCCATCACCACCATCCACCATCAGCAACACCACTACCACCACCATCCACCACCTCCATCACCACCACCACCATCACCATCCACCATAAGCAACACCACTACCACCACCATCTACCACCTCCATCACCACCACCACCACCACCTCCATCCACCATCAGCAACTCCACCACCACCACCTCCATCACTACCACCTCCACCAACACCACCTCTATCACCACCACATCCACCATCACCACCTCCATCACCACCACATCCACCATCACCACCTCCATCACCACCACCTCCATCACCACCACATCCATCACAACCACCTCCACCATCACCACCTCCATCACCACCACCTCCACTATCAGCAACTCCACAATCAACACCTCTATTACCACCACCTCCATCACCACCACTCCTCCACCACCACCACCACCACCTCCACCATCACCTCCTCTACCACCATCACCTCCATCACCACCACCTCCACCAACACCACCT